GCTAGCGGTGCAGACATCATGAAGAAGATCTGTCGGCGATCGAGGCGCCAGCTGAGCAGTGGCAGCAGGACGGTGAAGAAGGCTCCAACAACGTAGGGAGGGACGGTGAAGAGTTGTTGGCGCTGAACAGTCGCCGTGGGGTAGATACCCCTGACGATCGTTGGCAGGAAGAAAGCAAGACCTTGAACAGTGACGTTGTTCAAAAGGAAGACGAACGAGGTCGCCAAAGTAACAGGTGCGAAAATTCCCCGACGGAGTTTTTTGGTGTCCATCTTGTCGAGAACTTGAGTCTGGCCAACACGCTCAGAGCGAACACGGGTCTCGGCGAGATCCTTTTCAGCCTCAGTAAGCCAGCGAGCAGAGGCGGGGCGGTCGGTAAGGGTAATGAAGCCGATGAGCGCCAGCCCGATTGTGATGATTCCTTCGATGGCAAAAATCATGCGCCATGTATGGATGCTTCCGAATCCATCGAGGCGAAGAATGGCAGAGGCCAAGAGACCACCGAAAGCTCCAGCCAAAGGCGCCATGACAATGTACAAGCTGAGGCGGAAGGCGAGTTCGGATCGTCGGTACCAGCGGGACAGATAATAGGCAATACCTGGCAACATTCCAGCCTCAAAGATGCCGAGAAGGAATCGGACTGCCATGAGCTGTGGGACGGTGTGGACGAAAGCAGTGCCGACTGAGCAGATGCCAAAGAGCAAGGTGGTAAGGGGGAGGAACCATCCGGGCCCCATGACCTTGCAGAGGATGTTGGCGGGAATTTCGAATAGAATGTAACTGATGTAGAAGACACTGAGTGTTCCATTGTAGTCGTAGCCTGCCATGCCGAGGTCCTTCTCGAGACCTGCAATGCGAGCGTTGCCTGGGGGGGTAGTTGTAAGTCGTTGTCAACATTGTAACGAGCCGAAAGAAACAAACCAATGTTGGCTCTGTCAATGAAGCAGAAGAGGTAAAGCAGAGCGACCGTTGGCACAATCATGAGATCGATCTTTAGCCTAAGCTTTCTCTCTACGGTCGGGTCGTACGCAAGAGACTGCTCGGTGTGCCTGACGATAAGGGGTCAACCAGGTTTCTGGATAGTAGTGCGCTGCTGTACGTGTCTTACTTTTCCGGGTCAAGCTTCGCGTCGTACGAGGACCTTTGCGCCATCTTGGCGTTGATGTCGTCGATGTTCTCGACGGTGGGCTTATCGTTACTCATGATGAAAGGAGAGCGCGGTGCGTCGCTCAGCCGAATGCCTTTGTGAGCGAAATGTCGACTTCGGCGTGGTGTCGAAGAGGTAACCTGGGGTAGGGAAACTCTCGAATCTGGCAGGGGATGAAGGACCCTTTTCAATGTCGAGACGACTGACTCAACAAAACACGGTCTCAAGGGGGCCAGCTGGAAATCCCGTAGGCCGGTCCAGGCTGGCGAGATAGATATCTCATTAGCGACCCTTGTCTTTCCCCCTTGTCCCAGATTGGAGGTGGAGGCGTGGCACCTAGCTACCCCAGACGGGTTATCCCACACACCAAACAACGCGGGGTAGACATCCACAAGAGCGGACGCCTCTTTTCACATCCAATCTGCATCGGGTGCGAGCTCGGGAAACGGCACCAAGCCAGCACCAAGCAACACTTGCAGGACCGCGGCCCATGTTATCGGATCCATTCCACTCCCACATCGGGGGACATGCCAGCCAGTGAGGAAGATGCTCACTCTGATGACGTGTTGAGATGGTAATTTGGGTCTGCTACGACCGTTGCAACGATGCCAGTCTCAGGGATGGCGAACAAGCAACAATGGTGCAAGATTGGCGATGTGATGAGATGGATGTATGTTTACGCGCTGCAGCAGCTGCTTCTTCGAGGTAACTGCAGCAGCAGACACGAATATTTGACCGAGTCTTGTCTTGCAGCCGTGCCGATAAGCAAATGTCAGAACTGCAGCTTCCCGAATAGAGCATCACATTGCGCCAGCTTCTGTGCCTCTCTCCCTCCAGACCCGTCAACAACGGCTTTGGTCGCAAGCAGCCCTTGTCCAGCCTTCCATGTCGACTAGGCTCAACTCGGCGTAACTGGGGAGGAATGCAGATCACGCTCCATTCCCGACACGTTTCGGGAGTCAATATCGGCACTCCTAGTCGGCAACCAGAGCACGAGCTTAGATTACAGGCCGCGGACTTTAGATTCGGGCGTGCATCTGTACGGGAGAGAAAACCACACCGGGCACAAGTTGCAGCTGCCGTTCGTGCGTGCGTGCGTGGGGCGGATGCGAACTAGGTAGCTGGACCTTGTCAAGCACGGGGTTTGAGCGCCGCATCATATATCAGATGCAAGACCTCCGGAGAGCCGATTGGAAGATGTCGCGAATGGTTGAGTTGGTTTTCCCATGAACGCGCGCGGCTTCATCCGCTATTGCGACGTGCCAACCTTGGAGTCGTGGTGATGGAACTCAAATTGGGGTCCGGCGGAGTCTAGTCGACGTCTAGTCGTCCGTGATTGTGAATAGGCTGGGACACCACGTTGCTGTCCCCATACCCCTCTTGCTTTCGACAGGTCGACCCCCAACTTCCATTTCTCCAACTTTGCTTTTGGTGTTCGGATGCTGTGACCAGCTGATCTTTGGCTTGTTGAGGCGTTTTGCTGACTTCTGCTTGCAGTGAAGACCGCTCTGAAATCCGGGATATCCGCTTCTCGGAAAGTCCGCCAAAACAGGTTCATCCCTGAATCCGCAACAGGTCAATGGATTGTTGAGTATTCCGCTAGCTCGGAATGATCGGTGATATAAGAAGACGCCAACTTCCTCATCGCGACGGCGTGCTTTCCCCATCGGATCTGGATTCATCGACTATCGGAAAGGGGGTTCGGAAGTCCTCTCTGTGCGACTTGGCCTACCGGGGTTGGTGCTCTGCGCCGTACGGAAAGCGTCCACGGCTTGTGTCAACGGGTTCCGAGGTTACAAGGCAAACCATGAGCGTCTTCTCTTGGCAAATGAAATGCCTCATCTTGTTTCGCGGGGGTGTTAATTTTTTGGCGCCATCCGAGTGAACAATTGGTGTTGTCTATGGCGGATTCGGCGAACTCTTGCCCAAACAGTCATTGACCAGGCAAGGCAATGTCGTTCACCAAGACGGATGATTGCCCACGGTCGAGACCTCGTCAAGCTAGTTAGGTATAGCATCCGATGAAGGAGCTGATCCGGGGAAGAAAAGGGACGCATCCGAAGCCCAGAACATGGAGAAGCGGGAAAAGCTAAGCTTAACGTCGATAGCGTCGAATCCCGCCAGGTTGGGCCGTGGCTGTACTCCGTACATAGTCCCACGCGAGATGGCGTAGATTCATCGCTTGGAGACACACACACTGAATGCATCGACTAAGGCGGCTCGTGTGTTCCTTGAGGCCTCAAACTGCATCGAATTCCGAAGATGTGGTCGCCCAAACGGTCGTGCGAGGGCTGTGGGCGAATATCTATCACATCAATGGTTTCTTTGCCCAACGTGCTATGCTTGACTCGAGATAGTTGGTGCTGGGTAGGTGCCTTGGCTGTTGGAGGGAACGGCTTGATTGAAGTTCCTTTGAGAGTTTTGGTTTGAGAAAGCAACAGCCAGGTAATGGCCCTTTCCGGCGGCAGTCCGGTCTAGAATCCGCGGTCCATCTGGGGAGTCCCCAGAACAGTACAGTCTGATGGAAACGAACGATAGCAATTGAGTCGTGGATTCGTGGTTAATAGGTTGAGAACTTTGAGAGGGGGGGGCATCGCCTGGGCTCTCTCCTTGTGGACCAATAGAATGCCAGTACCGAGTACGTACCGGAGTCACGATTTGGTTGGACAAACACGACCCACCATGGCGGGCCTCGCACGTGCATTTTCTTATCCTATCCCGTATGACATAAGCAGGTACGTACCGGAACAGATAACGCACCTCAGGTTCAAGGGACGGGAAGGAGCAGACAGCAAAGTACGTATTCGTACAATGGTTAGACCCGAAGGAGAACTCGACGACTGGCACCGCATTCTCTTCCAAACCACAACGCACATTTACAAAGCTGCCTCGCCTCATCTGATTCTCTTATGCCATCGAGTCAGTCTCACCACTCCGCTGTGCAAATTTCCAACAATATACACTCCGTGTTCAACAGGCAGAGGGCAACGACAAGCAAAACTGTAATTTGACAAGCAACAGCCCGCGCACAAAGAGAACAATGCCAAAATCACAAGCGCAAACTACCAATGCTCCCCCGGAATGGGGACACCCCGGCTCCCAACGTCTCCTTAACGGCCAATAGGGCCGCCATCGGGCACCCAAGTCGCTTCGACAGTGGAGAATTACAATTCTCCCAAGGCCCCAGAGTCCAAGGGCCCCTCTCACACATCCACCACGCCTCACGATTCGCGACTCTGATAGCCCACACCGGGACGCCTTATCACTGCCGCAGTGCCCCAGACCAGGCGGCGGCTGGTTGGGCAATGGGCACACAGCGTCTAGAGACTAGAGTGCAGACCGCACCAATATTTGGTACCCGACGTCATCGAGCAGGGTGGCGGTCAACTCGAACCCCCACAGAGACAAAGCTGAGCAAGGCATGTTGGCGCAGCGAGTCGCAGCACAAGCACAGTGACGGCAGAGAAGCCCGCCAGTTTCCAACTGTGTTCTGCGGAAGAGGAAGCGCAAGGCAAGGGCCGAGGCGGGAGCGAACGCTATGCCAAAGGGCAGACGAGACGAAAGGACGAGACACTTGACAGCGAAGAAAGAGTTTGGAAGTTTCCAACGTCGGCCCATCCCACTGTTACAACTTACGCCGCCCGGACGACAATTGACCTCTTTTCCCACCCACCCATCCGACTGTCTGGCATCCCCCATCCTCTCCATTTCCCGTCGATCCGTTCAAGCCCAACGACGGGACCGCGGTCCATGGACGATGGGACACCCAGCGGGCTCCATGGCTCCGTACGGGATCCCGCTGTGCGCAGGCTGGTAGATCTGGCCCGGAATGGAGTCCTAGGCTCACTCCTGGCTGCGCTTTTCCAAACAGGCGCCCCGTCGATGGCTGCCCAAGCGGCGACGTCAGGTTCGAGAGGGCACAAAAGCGGACTGGGCCACTAAGGCTAAAGGCCGCGTTGGACCGGGTCTGGAATGGTCAGATGGGCAGAACCGCAGCGAAAAGCAACGACGCAGGCCTCGGGAAGGGCTTTTTACAAGGAGTAGCCTTGTTGCCACAGCCCTCTCGTCTCCCGCCAGGTTTGGACGACGGGTGCGATGACCGATACGGCACTGATGGCCCTCGTTAAGGACCGACAATCACTGTCGCTCCTCGCGCAAAATGCCATGCTGCGGTCAATAGCTTGTCCAACGACGAAACAGGCTTTGGATACTGAGTTCGAATGCACTTTTGCATCCCTATTGGTGTTTCTGGCATCATGCGGGAGAGCTGCGGGCCATCAGTCCGTCGCATAACTAACAGCGGCCATCTTCTCCCTACCAGACCGTTGGACCATCCAGAGAAGGCCAGGCAAGCTGGGATCATCGCTCAAGCAGCATCGCCAACACCACCATCTTCCTCGTTCAGTCTGACGAACCAAGCCAACCCTGTCCTGGCTTCCGTCCGTCGTTCCAAGAAGCCTGCTTTTCCACTCCACCACAAATCTCCGTGTCGTGTCCAAGACTTAAACTACAAAACCGCCTCGTTTTTTCCCAGCCACCACCTTTTCGTCTGTCTGTTCTCTTTTCGCAAGGACCCTTAAAAACGACACCACTCACGGCTTGGACCAGTGCGAGTGCCCGTATCACATTTCGCAGCTCCGGTGGTTCAGCAAGAACAGTCAGCTTCAGGATCGTTGTTGGGGAGTGTCGAGTAGACGGAGGACCATTATCGGGTCTACTGTCACAGGCCCATTTTCGTGAGGTCAGCTGGTAGAGTTCCAGGTTGCTTCCTGGCTTCACATTGCCTTCTCATAGGCCGTTTACCACCCACGCCTACCACCACACACGACACACACAAGAGAGTCTAGAACGCCGAGTCCAGTCACTTGTCGAGTTCAGTCCGGCTTTCCATCGCATCACCCGTCTTCGCCCACTACCATACACCAGTCAGCCAAACCACGAAGAGGGGTTCATCGCTTGCCTCATTCACTCACCCACTCACTCACTCACCATACATTGTCAGTGTTACAGTGTCACATACCAGTCTCATAAACCCTGGAAGAAGCCACTCGCACGCCACTCTAACGCAGGGCGGCGCCGCTACTCCATTATCCAATCCAAATTCCAAAATAGCCCACTGGACCCAAGGCGGGTCAACGGCCTTCACCGACACTACCGGCGCTATTGGCCTGGGTTCGCATACCTTACGTTAGGGGGCCAGCCATCCCACCACTCACTCACTCGCTCTCTGCTGCGACACTGGATCACACACATTATTCCCGCTTTTCCCCTCTTTCTTCGCTCTCTTCTGGCCCTCTCTCCCTAGAGGTGTCGTCATCGCCCTGATTCTCGACTCTCGCAATACGAGCGACTTCTCTCGAGATTCACAACCACGAACTCCTGTCATCACCCGATCATTCCACAACCTCCCGGGAACAAACCATCACCTGTGACATCCCGGATCCCTAATTTCACGACCACCGCTATTTTTCCTGCAATATTTTGTGATACCCGAGATCGACTTTATTTTCACTTCCAACCACACATACGTTAACCATCAACCAAAATGGCCGGCCGTGCTGAGCGCTGGGACCGCGACCGCTTCATGCAAGAACGGGAGCGAGACCGCTATCCAGATGATCGTCGCTATCCAGACGAACGAAGCAGATTCGAGGAAAGAAGCCGCTTCGAGGAACGTGATGACTATCGCCCACCGCCTCGCCGCGGCAGAGATCACTCCGATGAGCGCTTCGACCGTGGCCCATTTGACCGCGGACATCGCGGCGGATACGAAGAGGATTCTGTAAGAGACCGCCGCTACGTCGAAGAAGACCGTTATGGTCCTCGTCGCGGAGAACCTTTGGACCGGGAGTTTGATCGTCGTCTTTTCTTCGAAAGAGAGCAACGAGAAGTCCGTGAGGCCTCGCCACCACGCCGCCCGACCATGCTCCGTCGTCAATCTTCCCTCGACACCTTTGACCGTCGCCCTCTCCGCTTTTATGAGCGTGAGGAATATCCCCCGCCAGCCCGCCGAGAAGATGTTCGCCCTCGCGACGATTACCGGGCCCCTCCATACGTTCCAATCCCTCTGCCCCGCACCCGCCAGCTGGGCCCCGCACCATCTCAACGATACGACGAGATCCAGATCGCCGAACCAGGCTACTACGGCGACGAGGAGTTCCGCGGCATGCCTGAGCGGGTGAAGGAGCGTGAGGTCGTTACTTCACGCCGGCGTAGAGACCGCAGCCGAGAGTCTAGGGTGTCAAGGTCAACCAGAAAGAGTTCGCACCGAAGCAGCTCACGATCAAGCAGCACCTCCAGCAGGTCGACCAGCACTACCACCAAGACCGCGACGACTGTTCGCAGCTCCTACCCGAAGAAGGGCAAGACCCGCATCCCACAGCGCCTGGTTTCCAAGCGCGCGCTCATCGACCTGGAATATCCTTACATTGAAGAGGCAAGTTTCGCTTCAATCGAGCGCGCCAACTTTGAACTAACACATTTATTTCCCAGGGTAACACCATCATTGTTCTTAAAGCTCTCGGCCAGGACAACATCGATGAACTCCTGAAGCTCAGCGAGGAGTACAAGCAGAGTAAGTGATTCCATGTGCCTTCATCCATCTGACTGCAGCTGACATGATGCCAGGTGAATTGGAGATTGCCGCAGCTCGATCATCGGCTGGCAAGCATGAAGAACGACACGAGGAGATTTACACCATCCCTCCGCCGGTTGCTGCCCTTCCCCCGCCGCCCCCGACTGTCATCCATGTCCCTCCTCCTCCACCGGCGCCTGCTTCAGTGGCGCCGCCTCCCGCGCCCCCAACCGTCGTTTCTGCTCACCCTCCTGCTCCCCCATCCGTCTATTATGAGGCGCCTCCTCCGCCACCTCCCGCTCCCGTTCACGAGGTGGTCAACAAGACTACCATCATCCGCGATGTCTCTCCTGCTCGCAGCTCCACATCCTACACAACATCGACGACCGCAACACCAGTCGTATACGAGCGCCGCGAGTACAGCGAAGAGGTCCCTATCGGACCCATGGCGGTCGCTGAGCGTCGCCGTAGCCGGTCTCGGTCTCGCAAGAATATCAGATCCGAGATCAAGGCTCTTGAGGCTGAGCTTCACGAGCGCAAGCACGGAAGGAGCCGTGAACTCGTCCGTGCTGAACAGATGCCCGATGGCGCTGTAGTCCTCTTCGAGGAGAAGGTCGAGAAGGTCGAGGAGCCGCGGCGTGGAGTGCGGATTGAGAAGGACAAGAAAGGTAGGATGGCCATCAGCGTACCAAAGTACTACTAAGGTACGCTTCGTCACCGTCTCGTCAAGTCAGAGCCCAGGCTAACGCGAGAGTTTTCAGGTCCTCCTCCTGGAATCATGCGCGCTATGCTGGCAACTCTCACATAAGTTACCTGTGCCGGCCAGGCGCATGACTTATTTTTCAGTACGAGATTGAATGTACAGAAGGCGATTGACAGACCTCGTACACTACGAGACGGACTTTGTTGCATTGTTTATCAGCAGGGAATTGGATTGTTCAGGACGATTTTACCGTTATTATTCCCCAATAGAAAAAAAAGGAACTCCGTTGGCTTTGCAATCCTGGGAAGGGATTTGCGTATATGTATGGATGGGATTAGTAACCCTATAGTTTCACATGCGCCCCAACGCAGGTTTTGGGGCATGGTTTGTCGCCTCTAGGTACTGGACGATTTACCGGTATACTCTTTTCGGTTAGATGGCGCAGGTTACGAATCTATGACTTCTATTTTTTGACGTTGGGATATCAACCATGTTATATTGTCCCCTTTCGAATTGTATCCCATCATGGGTAACCAACCTATTGATTTATGCACGCGCAGGCAAATAGCGCTTGAAGTTTGGCCTGACAAGAGCCTAGTTCATCCGGAGGTTATTGACACGTCGGCGCCGTACCTGAGATACAGCTACCGAGGCAAATGAGAACAGCGCATTCACCACAGCCTGAACCTTCAGTCGTCGTCTCGTAAGCTGTGTTTCGGCCCCGGTGGCAGCTCGGGAGTAGTTTTCCCTTTGCCAAAGTATCATAGAAGAGCCCCATCATGACAGTGAGCAGTCGGTTGGAGCTTGATGACTGAAGTAAGTTGAAGATAGGGTGACGCGTACTCTCAGCTCGTAAAGGGTTCCCTCCAACCCCATTCTTACGAGGATGGCGTTTTCCAGCCCTGTCGAAACAGGTCGTGATACGCACGAGACGTAAGAAGGTTGATCCATTGTTAATCTAACGCGTCGTCACCCGCATCATGGCTGAGTTTCTGTACTGTAAGTAGCGAGTCAAGATCTCCATGGCGACTATTTCGGACATGACTATGAAGATTATCGGTGTATGGGGAGAACGCGGAAGCGCGGCTTACCCCCTGTCGATCTCGTATGCTTACTTTTGACGCCGGCTCGGCATCTACGTAGGGCCCGCATGTTTAGACGTCGAAGGCTCTAAACTCCCCGAACTATATTTTCCCCGAGGAAACTAGGAGCGGATTGGGAAATTGGACCCCGAGCACTGCCTCAACACCAACCTCTGATGTTGTTATTGATACAGGGCGTTGTAACAGAAACACCATGAATAGCTCAGCCAGCGCGTATCAATGGAGTCCGAAATCTCATCATGGCTCTCTATAAAGCGAACGGTGGATCTTGTATTTGCACGAGGAAGGTCAAAACCAGCGGACACAGTTGTGATTGAACAAGTTTTATTCAGAATACAGGAGAGGAAAGCATTAATGCGACAATGGACCAACAGCCTTCCAAGTATCCTTACGACCCGTCTCTCGCTGCAGCAGTGACCTTTGCCGTGCTGTTCGGTATTAGTGGTGTGATTCATTCCATTCAGCTCAAGCGGGCGAAGACTTGGTACTGGATCGCCTTTTTCATCGGTGTCAACTGTAAGAGGCCACTGAAACCCGTTGATTACTCGAAGCCTGACCACTGATGACCTGCTGAATAGTTGAAAGCATTGGATATGGGAGTCGAGCAATGAACGCATCCGAAACACCGAATTATTCACAGGTCCCGTTCATCATCCAGACTCTTCTACCGTTGCTTGCCCCGGCACTGTACGCAGCCTCGATCTACATGCTCCTAGGTCGCATTATCGACTCATTGGAAGCGGGCCATCTATCAATTATTCCCGTCGGATGGATGACAAAGATCTTTGTGTTCGGAGACGTATTCTCGTTCGCCTTCCAGTGCATTGGTAAGCCCAGTGTCCAATCGCCGTCACCTGTGATGTTGGCGGAAAGACTGACTCATTCCCCAAATAGGCGGAGCTATCCTCTCCGGTGCAAGTGACAAAGACGGACTCGACCGCGGCCAAAACATCATCCTCGTAGGTCTCGGCATTCAAATCCTCTTCTTCGCAGCCTTTATCGTCACCATCTCCGTCTTCCACTATCGAATCATTAACCACCCGACGACAACGAGCATGAACGGGCGGCGACCGTGGAGGCAGTTCATCATGGTCCTCTACGCTACCTCGTTCCTTATTCTGGTGCGGTCGATTTTCCGAGTGGCTGAGTTTGCTGAGGGACGGGACGGCGTGCTTCAGACTACAGAGGTGTATTTGTATTGTCTCGACACATCGCTCATGTTCCTCTGCGCTGCAGCATTCAATGTGTGGTTTCCGGGTCGTATTGTTTCGCCTATTACTTTTAAGGATGAGGAGAGGTTTCCTCTTGGGGCTGTATCGAACCAGGAGGATGATGGGGCGTTTAGGGTTCGAAGGTAGACTGCAGTCTCAAGCCTGGAGCTTTTGACAATGCAGGTCAATATGGATAATCTGTCGTTTGGCTAGCATATGGTATGCGAGTATCTGATGGGTAAAAGATGTGGGAGCGTAGGCGTACGTGTCCTAGTCAAAACCTTTAGATATCCAGCGTAGATGTAAGCAAGGATGTCTGAAGTCAACTAATCAACGGACGGGCCATTCTTAACATTTAAAGCTATGCTTTATTTTCGTAAAATCTCAATGCCTTTTCCTCAGAGCCATCGACGCAGACCATCTGCACCGTAGTACTTTCCGCCACTTGGTTCATTCCCTTCAGCGTATATAAACCTCATGCCTTTTGGAAAGATCCCCGTCCAATCCGTTGAACAAGAGCGTCAGAGGCGATGAATTCCATGCCATATATTGCTGTCCGCCATTACTAGGGCTAGAACGTCGGTTCACCAGCACCAGAGCGCAGAATGTCCATTGAAGCACTAGGAGTGCAACTGGATTTACGACCCAGAGCCAATGAACGTAGACACATGTGTCGGTGATAAGGGTCACACCCACTACTGCTCTCAGGCCTGAATGAATTTCTGCTATTCGCTTGTCGTCGAGGCCGTCGTATGGCTTGTTGCGCATGCCCGCAGTCGTCGAACTTGCCAAGCCGCGGGCCAAATTATCGACGGTGGTGATATTGCCAGCGGCTTGCGCGTAGACTTGTTTCAACCAGGTTGGGCCCGTTATTACTCCGGGTCTACCATCCAACATGCTGTGTGTGACGTTGTTCTGCAATATGTCCTGCAACGTGGAGGTAATCGCTCGCCAGGAGATTGCGTCTATTCGCCATACACACTCCGGCGGTACAAATTTTCAAATCACGTTCTTCCTCCTGCCAAAAGTCTTGTCTCCTTCGCGTTCAGAAAGACGGCTCGTAGGCGAAAGCTGGAATGGACGACCGTCCACTGACTCAACTCGAACTGTTTGAGGCGCTCAGCGCTCTCTTGCCGTACACGACACTTCCTTGCCACTGATTAGGCCAGAGTTGGCCACGAGGGTTCACTCGTCATGCCATGTCAGAATCTCGTTCAAATTTGGATGTTCTACTTCGAGATAGACTCTATCTTGGACATTGCTATGGTAACGCTTGACGCATGCATCTAGCCTGTATCGAACGGCAAGTGCTGAAGTGTTTACCTCATCTGCGCAGGTGTCATCCAGAGTGTTACAGGGGGAATCAATAACCGTCAAAACATCGAAACTATAGAAGGGTCTGAATGACACTTTGTCTTTGTCAAAGATTCCCAGTGTGGTCAAAAGCGACAGTTTCGAACTGTTCCATGGACTAGAAACTTCCGGAATCAATGATGGCACGGTGTAATTGTAATCGTAAGACAACTGCTATGCGTAGAAAGGGGCATCTGGACCCTCTTGAACTTTGATGACTCGGTCCGTCATGTCTTGACAGGAGTGACAAATGGCTAAAGATTAGAAGTGACTGCCGTTGTCCCCGTTCCCAAAGGTGCAGTTGCCCGTAGCGCATTTGACGTTGATCAAGGAAGCCAACTATTGAGGATCAGCAAGTCCCTTTACGATGTCGGAGTCCATCGGACCAGCTGTGCAGTGATTCGCTCTCGGTATCTCTGCTATGATGCCGTTGACAGAATCTGCGGCACGACTGCATCCCTTGTGTTCGAATATGGCTTGAGAAATGGGATCGATGGCGAGAGCGGCTATGGTGATCAGGGCACCAAGCCCTGCCAAATATCTTCGAGAAAGGTTAGCACGTTGGCCAAGATATGATAGAAAGCTTGGTACAAGAGCTCACGGCCTTTGTGCTTGTGGTATTTTCTTCATGATCAGTATCAAGGAGTCCCATGGACCACGCGTAGCATCGTCGAAAGCAAGCACATCAGCTAGCTTCTGTGGCGTTGAAACCAATCCCACTTCAGCTGACCCAGGCCTGATTTCCATCCTCTTGTCAGCACCAAAAGAATATTTCAATGACCTGGAAGAACCATCACTTTGACGCACCTTCGGCAACGGGCATTATGAGAGATGCCTTGTAAACTGCGGCAAAGGTAGCTACCAAGGTATTGACTGACATCACACCTGGCCACTTGGGCAAGGGCTTGCTCTGATGGAGCGCTAATATTATGATGATTGCTAGCACGCAACCGAGAGCGAGTAAACTACTCAATATCTCCAGCCGCCATATTTGTCATATGGTCTCGTTCGTGTCTGTGGTTTGTTGGCTTGACTCGTCAGTGCCCTGCTCATTCTTTTCGGGTTGCCGCATGCGCGAATATTGCGTCATCGTACTTTTAGTTGAGTATAAAGGCCTTTGTCCTATCGGGGAATGGAGCCCTTCATCCTCACTAATTGTCGCGGCTGCACCCTCCACGGCAGTCGATGAGCTCGTATGCATGGAACTCTCCACTCATCTGCTGCCGTAGTCAGCAAACTGCTACCAGGTTCGTTTGATTTTTTATCGGCGCTGTTATAGAAAGCTCTAAGGGAAAGATCACGACGGTCATTTTGAACGTGGAAAGAAGATGCCTCGTTGGCGTCATGGTGTGGTGTTTGATCCATCCTCGTCCGTGTTGCGTGGACCTTCAATGTCTACGGATGGTCGGATTCTTATCTTCATGGACCTCTACCATCTGCGGCTACTTTACTTGCGAGGGCTCGTTCCAATATAGTAACGCCTTGCTACGTCCGCCCTTGGATACCATTTCGCGTTATTGCCTCTCCTGTCTGCCTTGTGCTACTGTATTCGTGTTTTCAACAGACTAATTGCTGACTGTCGAAGATCAAGGTGTTTTATTGGTTATGATTGAAAAGGGCGCATGTCTAAGGTGACGTCTGTGGTGGCGGCCCTGTACAATGTACGAATCTTAAGGCCAAGCAAGCATCGTCAGGTTGTTGAAGACAAGACAATATAGGCTCAGCCAACGAAACGACAATGAGCTATTGAACTTATGAACTATTGACATTTCTTCCTTTTTGTATCCAGTGTCCCATTCCAGCCTTGATCGTGTTCCGAGGTACATTGCACAGCGCAGGAAGAGCTTCCCTTGACATTGCCTCCTCGGCAGTAACCGTAGTCTCTTATGGATGGCAAATACAACAAGACTATGAGAGTCCCGTCGTGTCGGCATGCAAGACGAACGCAAAGATATTGAACTCGCGACTACGATGATGGGTCCGGTCGTACCTCAAATAAAGAGATCGCGTATTGTGAAGAGGCCTGTCGCGCGGCCCGCCCCGAACCACTCGAAATACTACCTGAGAAGCCCAGATTCAAGGCCAAGCCAGAGATATAATTAGCCTATACACACATCAATTTGCCAGCCTTTAAACGAAACTTTCCTGAGTTGTGCAAATGATCTCAACCGGTAGGACTTATGAGGTGGTCCACCAACACGTTACCAGTTCGGGCGTCTCGCTTCTTACAAGAACCCGGGGACCCGTGTTTCGCTCCTTATTAAGAGCCGAAAACCCAGGGTGCTCTGTGCTCTGTGCCCGCACAGCACGGGCACCATCCGGAATCGCATACAGGATACTCGCTTTCGTTACTTGGGATACTGACATTGTTGCCTAGATGATGCAGACTCTCTCGTTTATAACAGCTTGGTTGCATGGCTTGTCTGCGATAAATGTTGTACTCTCTCAGTAGAATAGATAGATCTATCTGATCACTCATTGTGCGTTGAGGCTAGACGGCGTACATCGTCACACGCACCCCTCGCAACTACGGACATGTTCTCGCGCTCTCTTCAGCCCGGACCAGTCAACCGTCTGGACCACGTTTCTTCATAAACCATATGGTCAAATATGTTGTAGGTACCCCTGCGACAAGTTCTACACGCTTGCCATAGGCTTCGACAACATCCTCAAAGACTTCTCAGGAAGCGTCATCAACTGAGCTGGAAGACATCGATTTCCTACTTGGGAAACCTTATCGCGTCTCGAATCAATCCACAGACATATTACAGTAATGGGAATGAGGCAAGATATCTGGAACCATTCGCCAAGCATGTTGTAAGTTAAGTTGAAGTGTCAAATTTCGAACACGTTCGGTAGTGCGAACTGACTTTTCCGAAATCTTAGCTCCGAGTGGCCTTTAGAGTTGAGATTACTGCCTGATAGGCACGCTACAATAACGGTACGATTCAGTTGATTGCGTACGCTCCCGCTATACGACGGTGCCTGTGGCTTAGTGCCCGGTGCTCAGCCTGGGCCTGTGTCACTAGTAGATCCCTGCTGACAATGCCATAAAGGGATGGACGCCCTACACTCTTGAAAGAATGCATAAAATCCCGTCTAGGGACGAGCTTAAAGAATGGTGACATCCTCTGTCCCACCTTTCTTTTCGCGATGCTCTGGAGGCCGCCGATGCCATCGATAAGCTGCTTACATCTACTCGTCTGACAGCTTTGGGTAGTAAATTGTGCTATTTTGTTGTTCAAAGCCTAGAATGGAGTCGATAGCTGCTGAGGCACCGCCGATTCCACGCAAGCCATCATGCGTTCTTTGCAAATCGCGGAAAGTCAAGTGCGATCGCGAGAGCCCGGCGTGCGGAGGCTGCGTCAAGGTTCGTGATCCTTGAAAGCACTCTCCCCTCAGAGACACTTGCTTCAAGATCTAACAGTAAGTCATTGGTAATTCAGCTAGGCGCAGAGTGTGTACCACGCGAAAACTCAAAGACACGGAACCGGAAGAAGCCCAATGTTGAACTTCAACGAAGACTGGCGCGATGCGAGGAACTACTCCAACAGTTCGTGGCCGCAGAAAAGCGCGAGAAGAGTAGCGATGGTACTCGTACGGAGCCTAGTCCGAAAAGCGATACAAGTACAAAGATTGAGGATCAGGGTCGGAGCCGGGATCGCGAAATGCAAGCGCTTGAGAACTCTCTTGGGAAGCTCGTTATCGACAAAGGGTCTGTCAGATTTACTGATAGCACCCCTTGGGCCACGGTATTCGATGAGGTAAATGCCCTGTCAACGGCCCCTTGACGACAGCTTCTTTCGCCAGCCAGATATCTAACAACCTATTTGCCTCCATGTAGTTGCAAGCCATGAGAGCAATCGTGGAGGACGCCGACAGTCCTGCGAGCCTATCGAGCCTACCGGAAACGACGACGATTCAACAACCGTCCATTGCGAATGAGGCAAACATCATGGACGTCAGAGAGCCCAGTGCCCGCAACCCGCAACATCTGCATCCGCCTTCGAGTCATGCCATGCTGCTATGGCGGATGTTTGTAGATCGAGTCAACCCAATAACGAAATTCATTCACGTGCCGTCCACGCAACGTCATCTGGTCCAGGCCACGGCCACTCCGCCGTCTTTGCCGCGAGACATGGAAGTATTTTTCTTCTCGATCTATGCGTGTGCTGTTGGTTCGATGAGGCCAGAAGAATGCACAAGGTTACTGGGTCAGTCAAAAATAGAGCTATTGAATCGGTTCTCGAAGACCTTGCGAAAGGGGCTGTATCGTGCGCGCTTCTTGGAGAAGCCCACTTTCGTGCTATTGCAAGCACTCGTACTTCAACTGGTACTGAAAACCTCACGAATTGTTTTGGACCTCCAAAGTGTCGCACAAATTCATGCCATCTCACAAGGTTGAACATCTAGCTAAGTCAAGTTTCTAACAGGTTGTGATTCCGGATCGAGAGAGTGCTCACGCGAATTGGGTCATGAGCGGCGTCTGTATTCGGAGTGCCCAACGTCTGGGGCTACACCGAGATGGCTCACAACTGGGAATTTCCCCCTTCCAAACAGAGCTACGAAGACGCGTCTGGTGGAATATTGTACTACTCGATTTTCGATTCGCCATGGCCTCTGGATTCAACCCAACTCCGTTGTCACGTGCTTGCAGCTGCAAAATGCCCACCAATATCAACGACGCCGATTTCGATGTCGATACCGCGACTCCCCTCGAAAATAGAGATGGCCCGACTGAGATGATTGTCTCTTTGGTGGTTTGCAGCTTGTCGCGATGTCTCACTCAGCGAACCAATTTGAGCCATGCCATGTTCGTCGTCGAAAAGAGTGACGTGTCAGACGAGCTCAGTCGACTTCACAGTATCGAGCTGGAGAAGTTCGTCGTCAACTTTGAAGAGTTTTTAGAGGATATCGTGAAGCGTTATTGCGATCCGAGTGCGGGGGATCTGCATGTATTGGCTTTGCAGCTAAAAGCAGCCATGGTCGACAAGATTCGAATCATGGCATGCAAGCCCAAGGGGGCTGTGGAGCCACCGCCTGAGGCGAAAGGGGACATCCTGTTTCGTGTTTCACTCGAGGCGGCTGAACACGTTGCGAACCATCTTCAGGTGATGGAGGGTTGGAACTTTGTGTGGTACGTCCTTCAGTATCTCGAGTACGACTTGTTCCTCCACATGATCGGTCGACTGTGTCTCCAGTCAACCGGCGACTTGGTCGATCGAGCATGGAAGGTGCTGCCCATCATATACCAATACCAGGAAAACTATTTCGAAATGTCGGTTCACCCATATGCCGTCGCAGGAGCGGTTCTTGTTAGGGCCTGGAGACACAGGCAGGAAAGCTTGCTCTCCCAGTTGGGCTACCTGCCCCCGACCCCAGATTATGTTCAAAGAGTTGAACAGTGTTTGGCGGCCAATGGCTCAGTTGGCAGTTCCCCTCCCGAGCTGATGCCTCCTTCAGGAAGGGCTGCGCCAGAGCATACCGGGTGGGAGGAATCAGAATGGGGATGGAATCCGCCCGGGTTCGGCATTGAAACCTACGATCTTGAGTATATAGTAGAAGAAGACTCATTGGCGTGGCCTCCGTCTCAGTAGCGACATGGGTGGAAGAACGTGGGTATCAGTTGGGAAGGGCTTTTGAGAAGGAAGAAGGACAGAGCCAGAGAAAACGTCTGACGGTCTTGAGCTCTCAGTTGCTAAGAGAAAAGAGGAAGCATGATGCTTGGAAGTTACTTATGTATAGAGTCAGCATCACTAATGAATAGAAGAAACTCCTTCATCGTTCAATCGCATGCCTTCAATTACTCGGAAACCTCACTCAGCGACCTTTCTTCACACCCTACCTAGCCTCGCAACTCGCCCACAGTGCTGTTGAGGCTCGGGTAACCTGCATATGCCAACAGGGAAGCCGTTACTAACGCACGGCCAGACGAACGATGAGTTGAGTCGCATTGCCGTTGAGCAAGAAGCCGAATATAATAATGTCCTTGGTCAGGGAATCATGATTGTGGTAGTGCTGTAACTTTGTCGCACCATCCTAGCGAAGCGGAGGGACTTCCTCCGCGCACGTGATATCCAATCTCTTAATCCTTGTCTCGTCCGGTCTCAGGCCGGCCCACCTTCACTCTATTTGTCTTCGATCTCCACACTTTGATCGACTCGTGGCGGTTTTTGGATGAACGGGAAGAACTCGATGACCCCTGATTACCTCGCTAGACAAGACTTTGAGCCTCAACGTGACGAGCACGCAGCTGCCGTGCCGGTCGTCCGGCGAGCCTTTAGGGAACCCTCCTATAATGCCGCTTCGGGTACATCGGCAGAGGTCAATCAAGACTTCAAGCTCGGACAGCGAGGAAGAAGAGACTATGCCCCGCCCATGGAGCAATCCGAGGACCCGGGGGCCCCAAGCTTTTTCGCTCCCTTCCGTTAATTGAGGGGCTCCGGGGGCTTAATGGGTCTGGTAAGGTGTAGATTAATTGTCAAACCCCCTTCGCAGAGCGAGTTTTCCGTCATGACGGGTACGAAAGCGACCGTGTTTATATAGGTGTTGCTAGGTTCCCGTCGATCGTTCATGTTGATCTACCGCATCCCCGCCTGTCTTTCCATTCTTCCCGACCAAGTCGTTCGTTTTTGAAAACACACTCTTTACTTGATAGGTGCAGGACACAATGAAGTCACAGATCTTGACGACCGGCCTCTTGGCTGCTGGGGCGAGCGCTCTCGAGAAGCGTGCCTGTACCGCGACGGCGGAGTGGCCTGGGTTTGCGAATGTCAAGCACGCTTTCGTCTTGTAAGTCTGCAACACTTCTGCGCTCTGTCCTACATACACGCTAACAATTACCAGCGGCGACTCGTACTCCCAGACAGGCACGATAATTGGCTTCCTCGAATCAGTGTCATTTGGCTAACAGAACACAGGCTTCAACACCTCTCTCGAAGCTCCTAACCCCGCCAACCCCCTCGGAAACCCTTCCTACCCGGGCTGGACCTCATGCAACGGCCCCAACTGGGTTGACTACCTGACCGTGAAGCACAACGCATCCCTCCTGTACACCTACAACCTCGCATACGGCGGCGCCACCGTCGACGCCAACCTCGTCAAGCCCTACGCCGACACAGTTCCCACCCTCAAGGACCAGGTCCAGACGCTCTTCAGCAACGCCTACGCCGCAAAGACAGCACCGGCCTGGACGGGCTCGGATTCTGTATTCGCCTTCTGGATCGGCGTCAATGACATCGGCAACTCGTACTGGAACGGAGCCGATGCTACCTCTGCGCTCAACACCAAGATCGTGGACGTCTACCAAGGTCTGGCCAGAGAGCTGTACGAGGCGGGCGCGAGAAACTTTGTGTGGTTGACGACGCCGCCTGTCGACCGGACGCCGATGCTCCTTGCCGAGAACGCGGACGCGCAGAAGCTCTGCAAGGATGACGTCGCTGATTTCAACGGCAGAGTCAACGCCATGGCGAAGAATGTCACGACGTGGGAGGGTGCGAACTCGTGGGTTGTTGATGCTAACGGGGTGTTCAACGGTGTGCTTGATAACGTGGCCAAGTTTGATGCTACCAAGGGGTACAAGAATACTACTGGATACTGCGACGCGTACAAGGAGTAAGTCACCCTTGATATCGAAGTGCCTGCACGTATAAGCTAACCTTTGAACAGCGGTACGACTGCTCAGGACACCCTCATTGACAGCTGCACCTACCCAGTCAACCAGTACTTCTGGCTCAACACGCTGCATCCTACTTACCCCATCCACGATGCGGTTGCCGAGACCGTTGCTTTGGCCCTGGAGGCTGGGCCGAATGTGTGCTAAGGTAATTGGTGGAGCTGCTGGGTGGTCTGGATGTATCTTCTTGTATTTACTTTCAAGTTCCGGGTCTATGTACAAACTAAGACGAGTTACCGCCATCCGTCATCGTACTTGTTTTGAGTGGTGCGGATGATGCCTCGAGCTGCATCTTGCATCTTCCTGTACCAGTCGTCTGTGTGAAAGTCTGCTACTCCTTGGAGAAGAATGCATGCGATGTCAGATAAGGACATGTACGAGTCTGTCTCTACACCGTTGTGGTATTCGTGTAGGGCACGTCGTCTATTGCTTGGAAATATTGAGGCGATTCGGAGTCACACTCTACCTCACATAGCATCAGTCATTCCACGTCACGTTGCCCGAGAGCTTCTCAAATTCACTGCAGCAGGCCATATTTGCCAAACTGATTACCCACGGAGAAAAAGCAAGCCTATCATATTCGTCATATTCGCTACAACGAGGCTTTGCCAGGGGCGAAGCACGTTGCCAAGGCGCTACGGCTTAACAGGCTGCAGCATTTACTGCCCGACCATGATGCCCTCGAGTTCGGCAAAGAGCTCAAGTGGAATGAAATTTGTGGCAAGTACATTATGAGGATTATCAATCTCGCGGAGACGAAATATTGATAGGTACTATGGGGCGAGGGACACTGCTCTCCACAATCACATCGCAAGGCAGCGTAGCATCCTCTTGTCAAAACTGGCTACCATCTTTTTCGAGAATAAGCCATTCGCTCAATTACTTGTGACATACCGCGGAACTCACATAGTCAGCATCATCTTGGAGAACATCAACGCAATGCCATCTGTTATTGAGACTTTGGGGGTGGCTTCAACCTCATGCTCACCAGTAGAAGAGGAATTAAGCTTGAATTAAGCTAGAAAAGAGGCTTGGCTCTAAGCCTACAGCGCTCTCAGACTGACGAATGACCACGAGGTAGTCATAAGGAGATGAACAAGGGTAGTCAGGCCTTGCAAGTACTACTCACCAGTCCAAGTCAGTGCCTGTTCTGTCTCTGCGGCCAACCCCAAGACACCGACTTGTGACGGTGGGAGGCTGGGGTCAATATTGCCCTCCATGTAGGTCAAATAACAGCAATTCGGCTGTTGGACCATCTTGGCAGCGAAAATCAGGCTCCTCTGGTTGGTGCAGAGCCATGTGTCGCGCCCAGGAGAAGTGGCAGAGTGGAAACTGGGCGGAGTGGGTAGAACTGCAATCGCCCGGGGCTAGTGCGGCACAGCAAACGCCAGGCGTCCTTCGCCCGGCCGGGGTGAGACACTTGTAGGCGAGAATCCAAAGCGGATGTTGAGCAGGCTATGCTCGTGAGACCGCTCATTTCTGTTTGACGGCTGGCCATACTTAAGTCAGGGGAGAAGGACAGACTTACTTTTGTAGCCCAGCCTATTATCCATCCTTTCAACTCAACAATAACAACAGACTCGATTCAAATATTCGCGAAAAACAGACTCAGGTAATATTGCTACAGAGAACTGGAACCACAACGCGCTTGCAAACATGGGTTACTATGATACTCAAAATATCGTGGGGATCGTATACACTGTTGTGAGCGCTCTAGCTGCTGTCGCAGGCTCCGTATTCTTCATTCTCCTTCTCCGAAAGACATCAGAAAGCTATCATGACCCTACTCGCCGATGGGTGGCCATCACCAAAACAGCCCTGGGGCTATGGCTATTGTAAGCACCACAACTCCATCTGTTTGACGGCGGCTAACATTAGCATTGTCTCCAGTTCCGAAATCTTTTACGTCATTCTCAACATCATCTCTCTCGCACATGGAAGCACATATACGTACGACTCCACATTGGCCAAATTTATCACATACACCTCGAATATCCTCTCTTGGTTCTTCGACGTCAGCCAGGCCTTGACTTTCCTGGCGCTCTTCTACCTCGCCCGCGCATTCACCCTCCTCCGCGTCGACGAGACGTCAAAACGCTTCCGGATTGGGAAGTCGTTCTCCTTCGGCGCCGTCATCTTGATCTCGGTGCTCAGCTTCACAGCAATGTGCCTCTGGCTGAGTACCAGAGAGGGTTACTATTCTTGGAGCTATAACAGCAGCGATTACGAGAGGGTGATGATGAGAAGACTGGTGGCTCAGATTTTCGATCTCATTTGTGGCATCTTCAACCTCTTGTGCGCTATCGGTGCTATCACGTACATTGCCCTGGTTCGCAAGAACGCCCTCAAGGGTCCTCTACACAAGGTCAGTTTTGCTTCATTTTCCACCGTCTCTCAGTATTGGGTGATGCGGTTGTACATTCAGTCTGAGTGCTAACATATGATGGCTAGGCCTCGAACGTTGCGCTCGCAATCAGCATTATTTGGTTTGTCCGTGCAGTCTGGTCGCTCTTTGCTCAGCTTTCCTCGCAATACGGTTACTACTACTACAACTACGATACTTACACTTGGTTCAACATTGTCTCGCTAGTCGTCGGTATCTTGGGCAGCTTCGCTGTTTTCGTCATGCTCTACTTCCTGGCCACTCAAGATAAGTACGGCCTCAATACCCGCGGGGACTCAGTGCAGCCTGCGAAGCTGAATGATGAAGAGGCATCGGGAGCCCATATCACCACTGCCAACAGCGTATATTGATTCGGTCGAGACCAATCGGGGGTCCGGCGACAAGTGGAAGGTTTATCCGAAGATCCGTTCTTGCGGTAGAACCTGAGAGAGCGTGACAGTTACGCATGATTTGGTTGGGAATTGGGGATGAGCGAGGAACAGCATGATACCAGATAATGCGTGATGATACTCAATGCTTCTACCTTACGAATACACGGCATCTAATACATTGTACCTTGATCTAGTTTGACTTTGTTGAACGTAGCATATGCGCTCTAGGATTATCACATGTTTTATTTCTCTTCTTCAGCAACATACTCGTCAGGTGCAACGAAGTCCTCTGACCCCCAGGTCTTAGCAATGTACCTAGATGTAAGTCAGCAAAATGCTGGATCGGTCTTTGGAAGAGTCTCACTTGGTATGGCTTCCTCTTGCAGCCAATTCGCCCTTATTGTTGAAGAATGTGACTGTCGTATATGCAAGCGTTCTGCCCACTGCAAAGAATCAGTTTCCGCTCTCTACTTTGGACAGGGCTACAACGTACTCTTATCACAGGTGGCGGTGCCCGTCATGATGTCGCCAGGCTTGCCTCCAGGGTTGAGATACGTGACTATTGCAGTCAGTTGACAAGTTCAATAGTGATCTTGGAATACATTGTGAGAGCTGATAGATGGACTTGAATACTCACCATTGATGTCAGTTGAGACACCGGTCATGAATCGACCCTTGGAAGCGACGGCAAGAGAGCCACCGAGGTCAACAAGACTAGCAAGAGTTCCGCCATGAATCGTAGAAAGGCGATTCTGTGGGTCAATTTGGCCCAGTCAGTGGTGTCTTTGGCAACGGCGAGCATGGATGAGACGTACCGTGTGCTCCTTTTGGATTGCCAACTCGAAATCAACTTTGCCAACTGATGCGCCAGTCACTCGAAACTGCTTAGAGTGAGTAAACTATCGCTCATATACGTGAGTTTTATTCATACGTTATTACCAAGGAGCCTAGAGTTATGTGAGTACTTGATGGGCGATGCACAGCAAAACGGGATGCAAGCCAGCTTACCTCGGCTCAAGCCCAGAGTCCTTGGTGAAGGACTTGAAGACCTAAAGGGCAATTAGACTCAATTGGCGATGTCCGTATGTAATGTAAACTCACTGAGCGCACGAAGCGCAACGGAGGCAGCTTTGGGGCCATATTTGAGCTTTGGACGGCGAGCAAAGTGATGAGAATTGGTGAGAATGAGTTTCAAGGTGAACTCGGCGAGCTTCGGGAAGGGAGTCGCGACGGGGAATATGACGTGCGGACGACAGTAAGGTACGTACCTATCTTTGGCTGATAACAGTCCTTATCGGGATCTCGATAAGATACCTTAAGAAACCCCCAAGCTCCAGCCAGGCACAACCCACGAGAGCCCCTGCCTAAGGCGGAAACCTCTGTAGACCCCTGTCTGATGATTGAATGATTGCTGCGCCGTGCAATTCGCCTGGTCGCAAACCATCGTGAACTCTCTCAACTCTCAACAGCTCTACCACTTCGACCCACCACCAGTCTCCGAACTCGAGCCCGAAACCCCGCGCCGCCTATACGAACATGAGATAAAATCGACTCACATCTTCGTTCCCTCCTCTACCCAAAACCCAGCGCGCAAATCGCCCATCATGTCGGTCAGCTCGGGTCAATCGCTCCAGCTGGCCGACTACCTGGAGAAGCTGCCCGGCACGACCTTTAGGAAGCTGTACCTGCAACCCTCTACGGCCTTTGCCATCTTCCGCAGGATGATACCGCCGCTGGGTGAGAAGCCATGACCTCCCCTAGGATCGATAACTCTGGGCATTGGGTTGTTTTGTTGGAGAAAGAGCAAGGTCGCTGACCCAGAAGCCCAGCGAAAACCATCGTCATGGCTATCCTATACATGCCGCAGCCTATGCTGCTAGAGGACCTCGATGTTTGGGTCAAGCCGGACTCAAGAAGGTGCGCGCTGAAGTCCAACTAGTCACATACTGGCGCCGTCTAACACATCATCTTGCTCACTTAGGCAAAAAGACCAGGCAATCTCGACCCTTCGCAGCCTGCACATCCTCCAAATCACACCTCCCTCCAAAGAACGGCCACAAGAGATGCAGCTCACGACAAACTTCAAAAACTCGCTACGGCTCGCACTCGAAGGCGGCGGATCCCACAACTCCTTCGGCGTGCCCTCCTCCCTCCCCATCCCGCCCGAAATCACCGTCCCGTTCCTCGATCGCTACGCCCGTCGCAAGTGGGAGGACATCCTCCACTACATAGTCAACACCGTGAACCCCGGCGGCGCCGACGTCAGTGGACCTAAGGCGTCTGTTAAGGATCTGCTCGCTGCCGGTGCGCTCGTACGTCGCGCCAACGGTGCCGTCGGCATCACACAGGCCGGCTTCACCTTCCTCCTTCAAGAGGCCAACGCCCAGGTCTGGACCCTCCTACTGCTCTGGCTTGAAGCCACTGAGCACGCTTCCGCCGTCACGGGAATGGAGAGCACCGACGCTCTCAGCTTCCTATTCCTCCTCGCGAGTCTCGAGCTCGGCAGAGCCTACGACACCCAGGCCCTCACGGAACCACGGCGCAACATGCTTCCCAGTCTACTCGACTTTGGCCTCATCTACATCCCCCAACACAAAACCCAACAATACTTCCCAACTCGCTTAGCTACGACACTTACGAGCAGCTCCAGCGCCCTTCGCAGCGCAGGGGCAGGCTTCTCCGCGGCTCTCGCTGCGGCCACTGGTCCACGGCCCTCTAACGGCCTGACCCCCGGCGGAAGCGAGGAGAACAAGGGCGGCAGCATCATCGTCGAGACGAACTACCGCATCTACGCCTACGGCCAGACACCGCTCCAAATCGCCGTCCTCTCACTCTTCTGCAAGCTCAAGTTGCGTTTCTCCGACATGGTATCGGGCCGCCTCACCCGCAACTCGATTCGCAACGCCGTCGAGCGCGGCATCACAGCCGACCAGATCATCTCGTACCTCGCCGCCCACGCTCACGAACAGATGCACCGCATGGCCGCGGTACGGAACCGGCCCGTCCTGCCACCCACCGTCGTCGACCAAATCCGGCTGTGGCAGCTCGAGACAGAACGCATGACGACCACGAGCGGCTTCTTGTTCCGTGATTTCGACAGTCCTAGGGAGTACGAGGATATTGCGGGCTACGCGGCAGAGATTGGCGTATTGACATGGCGCAACGATAAGCTTGGCATGTTCTTTGCTAGCAAACACGAGCAAATTAGGGACTACCTCAAGTTGAGAAAGAAGGCTGAGGATTAGACAGAGGCGCTATGGTGCTATTTCGAGAGACATAGATAGACCTAGGCACAGGTCTAGAGGCGCTCCAGGTATATTGCAGGGCGGCTACATGCATTGGCAGGCGTTTTTGGGATGGAGATGGTTCAGGCTGGTGTAGAAAGTAAATGGGTATTGTTCTTAACAGCTGACTTTTCGTCTCTGGTAACCTCCATCTCTGGTGAACGCCATCTAAAAACAATGCATGGGCATAAGGGTCCTTTTCCTCGTACACTCCTCCTGTACGACAAAGACTCTTCTTGACCGAATCGAACAATGCGTTAATGCCTCCGTCCCTGTACACCTCCAGCTTCCCCCCTCCCAAGTCCAAACAAACCTAACAAAGCAAACAAATGAAGTGAAACGCCAATAACCATGATCTACAATAACCCTTCGATAGCGACGTACCTCAGACCATCACATAATGCTTGCTCGCATGGCGTTCCCTTGCTTGCCTTTACCAGCTTCTCTCTCCAACTGGGAGCTGCCGAAGCTCCGTCTTCCACCTCCGCTTCCACTAAAGAGCCGCGCAACGAACCCCCTGTCCGAGTTCATGCCTTCTGGCAGGAGCTTGCTGCGTCCCATTCTTCGGGCATACGCCTCTTGCCATGCGTGCAAGCTTTTCTGGGCCTCGGGCGTACCGCAAAGTGCTTGGAGGTGGAGGAAGATGCGGAGACTGCAATTATCTTCGTCCGAGAGTCGCTTAGCTTCTTGAATAGCGGCAGTGCCGTAGCGGTCGAGGGCTGTTGTGGTGCTGAGAGGTAGATTGCCACGGCCTTGATAGGCGGCACGTTGTTGCGCAAGAATACTGGCCTTGGAGGCGTGGGCTGTGACAAAGATTGATAGAGTCTGCTCTTGAAGGGATTCGCCTTGGAAACGATCCTGTAGAGACATGAAACGACCTGACCAGTAAGCCGATGGCTGCGCTGTCGTAATGATGAGTGGGTTGACCTCAGGAGACATGGGGGTGGGGGTTCTAGTCGGAATGCTAGTTGTAAGAGTCGAAGAAGTGCTGGTCTTGCGAGATGCCACTGTCTGCAGAGAGGCCTTACGATCACTTCCCGTGAAGCTGGCTAGAGATGTTCTAGAGAGGGAGGCGGTGAGGTTGGACAGAACGGTAAAAGTGCGAGATTTGGGTAGTCGCTGCTTCTCTATTCCGCCTTTGGGCGATCTTGATTGCTTTTGACGACCTCCGAGTTCAGGGCTGTTTCCGCCAGAACTTTCAATCGTCTCTTCCGCACCTCTTTCGATTTCGGTAGGCACGGATGTATGAGGGGGCCCTCGCAGGTGTGTGGTATTTTTGATGGCCATGACGGGGAAGCTGGCGATAGTTGGATTGCTGGACAACGGTCCGCCTGTGGTGAAACTGGCTGACAGTCGTCTAACTCCATGAGATCTTGCCATGGACAGTTGGGCTGCTGTTTCTGAAGGCGATATGAGCTGGTTCTCTTGGGAATGAAGTCTCTCGCACTGCGTAAGAGCGGGCTCATCTGAATATGGAATGCGCGTATTGTCAGCGTTGGCGTGGGAAATCTCCCCCAATACTCGACGATCTTTGACAGTAGCTTGTCTTTGAGAAGTGAGATATGGTTGGTAGCTTCCACGACCGGATAGGACATCCTGCCGCTGAAGAGGCGGGTTGGTTTCTCCTTGGGATTTTCGATGGTCGGGATTGACAGACTCGAGGGCTCCATAAGCTTTGCTTGCTTGGGAAGTCTTGAGGATACCACCTTGTCGAGTAGGGCCAAGAGTCGAATAGCCTCTTCCCGAATCAGCCTCTGAGGTCGGCTGGGAGATGTCTGAGTATTGTTTTTCGGTGTCGTTGATGCTCGAAACGACGGTGATTGCTTCGGCACGCTCAAGATCCGATCCGCTGCTACGCTGGACAGGCCCAAGAGGTCCTGAGATGGTTGGGCGCGACGTGGTGTGTTTTGGTCCCCGAGAATTGCGGTTCCGAAGCGGGAGGAAAGAAGATGCAGATAGACGGTCTCGCATTTTTCCAGCAGAATGATGAGTGCAGCAAAATACAGGATGCACTCGAGGAAAATGAGGTAGGGAATGGCCCAAATGAGGATGGTGATAGTTACCTGGCTGGCTCCAAGTGCGTGCTTTGAAGAGGCAACAATGATGGCGATTGACTGAGTGAAGGAATGGAAGTTGAGAGTAGCCGCGAGAAAACAAGACTTGGCCCAAAGAGAAAAAAGGCGAAGGTTGGCGTTGGCCAGGTCGATGCAAAAGTACAAAATCGTGATGATGCAGCGAGTGGTGTGGGCAAGTAGGACCAGGCCAAGCGATCCGGACCCGGCGGGGGACATTGTCTGGAGAGGAAAGTGAATTACAAGAATTAAATCAGACGAGGCGAGAATTTCAGTGTTGGAATACGCAGCCAGAGCGGTGTATCGCAGCCGTGGCGAGGTGAGCCAAAAGTGAGGTTCAGATGAAAAAGTGCTCTGATGTTGTTGGATGTTTGGAGGACGCGTCGACATCGAGCGCACGGTCGAGGACCTTGAACAGATGTCGACTCACATGCAGCTCTTGCCGAGCGACAGAGAAAGATAGATGGTTGAGACTCATCGCGAGAGGAAGGTCGAGTGCCATTGTCGTTACCATCGTCGTCAACTTCTTCCGATGCCCCTGCCGCGATGTTTCTTCCAAACCAGGTGAGGGAGGCAGCTTCTACCATATCAATGTATATCCGCTGAACGTCACTTCCCATCACTCCCCATCAAAGCCTCGCTCTTACTGTGACTTCAAATGCTCATAATTCCTTGTCTCATTAAGTTTGCCATGTCAAACATGATGCATGGGGCAAGAACAACCTCCAGCGCCGATGCCGATGATGCGAGGCCCTTTACATGCAATACCGTCTCTATACGAGCCAGACTCTTCAGTTCTCCCAACCCTCAATCTTGAACTTGAAGACCTCGTCACCTTGGCCTCTTTCAATGACGTTACCATTGCCATCCCACAATGCTCTCTCGCGATATGTCACGTTGCCGTCCCAGTCAACCATGATGATGGTCTGCCGCTGTGTCCCGTACAAACCCACCTCGAAGCCCATGGTGCCTTGGGCAGGAGGATCGGGTCGTTCGCCCAGCTGTAGGCCTTCGGCTGCCTTCTGGTCATCCGTGGCCCATTGACCTGGGCCTCTGGAGACTGCCTCCTCCATGGCTTTTCGATGGCTCTCGTCGCCCAAGGCAGGTACGAAGATGGATTGCTTCAACTCCTTGATGTAGTCCGCCAGGCTCATATCAGGGTGCTTGGGAAGCGTATCGGTATCCAGGACCTTGAATAGGCGCTCAGCTAGAGCATCCTCATTCAGATTGTCCGTAACAGCTTCCTGAATGGCCTCCTTGACCAGACGTTTTCCATTCTCAACCTTAGGCCACGGCTTGGGGTCGTCGTAAACGGTATTGCTAAGACCGTAAACCTCGCCCCGCTGTTCTCCGATCCACGGTACGTCCTGCAGGTCATCACACCGGTTGGAGATGATGGCGATACCCTCGAGCGCATGTTCGGGCTTTTCGTCGGTGCCGCGCTTTCGTTTCAATTTGCCTGCTACCATGGAAAAGCCACCGACGCCCTTGACACCACCATCCTTGACGAGGTGATTCACCGACGTTGAAGCGGGCTCTGTGGGGTCGAAACCAAGCCAGGCAGTGACCATGCCACCACGGCTGCGGGCAGCGTGGATGGGGTGTTTGGAATCCTGTGTATCTGTCTCGCGGTAGTTTGTGAGGACTGCGAGCTGGCCGGTCTTGGTGATGCCGAGCCAGGTGCCCTTCTCCGCTCTCTGAAGGTCGCGGGCAGAGAGAACAGTAGCGCCGGAAGGATGAGTCCACCAGTGCGGGCGGGACGTTGGGCGTAGGATAAACTCGTCCCGGTTGTCGACAACGATGAGAGCGTAGTCGGGATGGGCGGTGGTGAGTAGAACGATGCACATGCTGGGCGTTTTTTGTGGTCTTTTGGGGGGGTTGCCTGCCAGGTATATCGATGATTGGTTCTTCCTGAGGGCAACTGTCTTGGTCTCGATGAGTTCCTCCTGGGTGGTTGTGATCCAATGTTCGGTTCTTCGAGGGAGTGCTCGTGTTTATGATTCCGTAGATGAGCGGTGGAAAATGAACCCTGTTCCAACCTAGAGGTTGTTGGTGAATCCAAAGACCTGACGTGTCTATGTGTGACTGGTGTTTGTGATTGTTAGGTTCCAATATGGTACGTGACGGTGTGCCCAAATTCTGCAAACCCCTTGGGAATTGTTGGCCCTTTTCAATGTTTTCTGTTCTCAGATATATAATCAGTCCACCTCAGAAGCACAAAAATCCAAGGTCAGCTCGGCTTAGCCTGGTCTGGTTGGAGATGGCTATTGCCTCGGTCTTGGAATCATGCATCGCCTGACGCTGAAGCTTGGCAGGCTGTTGGGGAGTTGGCAGCGTGGCCGATCCTGTGTGCTCCGAGGGTCGGACAGCGGTGCCGGTCGGAGGAGATGACAACATGCTTCCAGGCACACCCAGCAGGTTTGGATGGATCAGCTTCAGCTTGCGAGGCCGAGCGGAAGTTGCCTATGCATGTGCTGTGCTCTGCAGTGTGCTGGCAGCTGCACAGCGGTACTGGAATCTGCAGCAGCAATACGACGCGAGCAGCTCGGTTCGGGTTCGGATTCTTGGCTGGAGGGGGGAGGCCAGCTGCATCCAGCTGTTAACACTCAGACTCTTTGTTCTGGGAGAAACGTTAGTAGTTGGCGTGGCTTGAGATGATCTTGTCATGGATGAAGTATGGCGTGAGGTTGAGGCTGGTGATCTTCCACAGTGGCTGTGCTGACTTTCCGAGTTCTTACATAATAACATCCGACCCACGGGACATTAGGTAATCAACGTTGAATATTCCCGGTCAATTTCCCCGCACTGCTCAACCCCACCAACTTTCTCAAAGCTTCGAATTCGCAACTGTCCGCTTTGCCTCGTGCAACAACCAATGCCGTGCAGCAACTGACATCAGACAGACGATGACCGCAGAGTACCCTGGGATGACTCTTCTTTTTACTGCTGTTAACAGATGTCGAAGTTGCCCAAACTCTTCTGCCCCAGTCAGCATGCGACGATCAGCAACAGGCTCCAAATGAATCGCTGTTGGACTCGTCACCAGATTCGTGGTTGCGAAAGTGTCGTCTGCACCAAGTCAACGCGTCTATCCTGACTATCTTGCAGTCTTATTTCTCGCTAATTCTTGTTACGGGTGTCGACTTGTCAGCAATTTTCGAACCAGTCGTCATCAGCTGTAGTAGCTGTGGATATTGCCCCAAAACACCAAGTAATCCAGTGCAAGCCCGCCAAACTTCAACGGCCGGCGATGTGGATATCATATACCCCTTCTTTCGGCCGACCAAGGGTGTCCCTCGCGGCGAAGATGTGCTTGGCAAGGATCGTAATCCTACCCATCGATCTGGCATGGCCTTGAGATGCGAACCCCCAATACCGTATACGGAGACTCCGGTCTTACTCTGGCGAAGATTGAACCCCGAAAGTCAAGTTCGAGCATTCATGTTTCCAACTTACGGTGTCCTAGTCGGAGGCGGTCCGAAGAGATTAGAGCCTCCGCGCGTCTCCTTCAATGCAGAACTTTTGTTGGCCGCGCCGTCCTATCCTCTAGCCTCCATCTTCCATGGGAGAAACCACCAAGCAAGAATTTGAATGCATTCGACCTTCCTCTTTCGACATGGCGCGTCGGCTGGTACCCGGTGCGAGCTCAGCAATCGCTGCAGTCTGACATGAATCGGCACTTTGTCCCGCCGACTCTCTGGGTACAATGGCGTTTGCTCACCAAAAGCCTCCCAATGATGGCAAGGACGGTCTCAGTGCTTACGTTCTCAATCTTTGCCGCCGACACGACAACATGGACTCGTAGCCCATCTCTGATACCTGCAAAGCACCTATGTTTCGCTAAGGTCTCCGCGTCAACTTGGCAAAGATTGCGCAAACTTGTTGGTCAGACTAGAAGAGATGTCGCCTGACGTGAGTCAACAACAGGCATCAACGCCGGGCCCGAGAAGTAAGCTCAACCTCGTGGCTCGCCCAGTCATGGTTGGGGTGCGATCATTTAAGCTTGTTTGACAAGCCTCTTGATTAATCGATTAAGTCTCTTCGGTTTCTCATAGCTTTCGGATTGCCCATCTTTGCCCTCTCCGCCAAACAAATCTCACACTCATTCAAGCCATTGAGTTCGACCCAGCATTGGCCCCTGGTATCCTCAGCGAATAGCGCACCCTTGACGAGCCATTACATACATCAACGCTCACTGCTAAGACCGATCTGAACAATGAGCTCGAAATGTCTCAACGACGACTCCCTCGGGCCTAGTGTTCAAGGCTGCCGCGGTGATTTTGATTTTACTCTTCGGTTCGAGAGGATATTCTTAGCCATCATCCCCGCAGCCGTTTTTATCGCTCTCTCACTTCCGCGCGTTGCCTACCTTGCTCGCAAACCGCGCATCGTTGGTGCCAAAACATTTCAAACCGTAAAATTGGTAGGTGACAGTAGTCCATGGCGGCAAACTTCATCTGAGACTTGGTTCTAAATTTCCCTTCGTCTAGGCCATCATAACAGTATTTGCAACGCTGCAATTCGCAATTCTCATTCTACAGACAACTTCCAGTGGCTCGCGCATAGATGGGTTTGCCGCCTCGGCCTCAGCTCTCGGCTTCCTCGCCGCTCTTTTCATGGTCGGATTATCGTATGCCGAACACTCCAGAGCACCTAGGCCCTCGTTGCTTTTGACCGGCTACGCTTTTCTCCAGATTCTCTTTGACATTGCTCAAACGAGGACGTCATGGTTGGTAGCTAAGACTTTCTCAACACAACTGTTCGCAAGACTATTCACGGCCTCGCTGGTGATAAAGCTTGCCATCCTCATCATCGAGGCCCAGAGGAAATCACGATGGATTCGCTGGACCGCCGAAGAACATAGCCCGGAGGAGACAAGCGGCTTGTTCAGTCTAGGCG